AGCTAACAGTCAAAATTTTGCTGATACAAAGCAAAGTTAAGTTGTGAACCGGAGGCTGACCCTGCACACAGAATCTGGCAAGAACAGGGCTGATACTGCAAAAACACATTCCTAAGTAGTGCTGGGCACAAGAATATATACCCAAACACATTCCATTAGGGTGGTACCAGAAAACCTGGATATCAAACACATTCCCCAAAGATAACAGGAACACACTGACCCAACTTAAGGATAAGGTCAGGATGACAGCATGATGGATAGATATGTTTTGATCAAACCAACATGTAGAAAGTAATAGGTGGCACCCTAGTACATCAGAGGGTGACATTCTAATACATCAAGGGCAATACATAATTTGTTTGTATTGATATATAAAGATGTAAAGAAGAATCCCGTGCACTGCTACAGGCTGGGGCCCGAGTGGCTAAGCAGCAGTTCTGCAGAAAAGAACCTGGGGATTAGAGTGGACAAGAATCTGGATAGGAGTCAACATTGTGCCCTTGTTGCCAAGAAAGCTAACAGCATATTGGGCTGCATTAGTTGGAACATTGCCAGCAGATCAAAGGAAGTGATTATTTCCCTCTATTTGGCACTGGTGAGGGCACATCTGGAGTACTGTGTCCAGTTTTGGGCCTACCACTACAGAAAGGATGTGGACAAATTGGAGAGAGGCCAGTGGAGGGCACATGACTTATGAGGAGAGGAGGAGGGAACTGGGCTTGTTTAGTCTGCAGATGAGAAGAATGAGGGGGGGATTTGATAGCAGCCTTCAATTACCTGAGGGGGGGTTCCAAAGAGGATGGAGCTCGGCTGTTCTCAGTGGTGGCAGATAAGAGAACAAGGAGCAATGGTCTCAAGTTGCAGTGGGGGAGGTCTAGGTTGGATATTAGGAAACACTATTTCACTAGGAGGGTGGTGAAGCACTGGGATGGGATACCTAGGGTGGTGTTGGAATCTCCATCCTTTGAGGTTTTTAAGGCCCTGGCTTGACAAAGCCCCGGCTGGGATGATTTAGTTGGGGTTGGTCCTGCTTTAAGCAGGGGGTTGGACTAGATGATGTCCTGAGGTCTCTTCCAACATTAATCTTCTATGATTCTACGTATCTCAGAGGGAGTGTCTTTGGCCAGCCAAGGGGACAGTGAAAAGTTCCGCCACTGACCGAGCTGCGTCCATTGTTACAAGCATCCATGTCTTAATATTCTCATACAGTCTGCCAGGTGCTATTACTGTGCTTCATTGACAATAAGCCTGGCCGGGTGCGTTCACTGAAAACCGAGTCTCGATTTATTGGGCAGTTTAATTGAGGTTTGCTACCTCTCCTATCTGCGCAGAGCTGGGCCAGCACACTGAATCAGACCACACCAAGTTCAATTAATGAGGCTTCTCAATGCTACACAAAGTCCTCAGGATTCCCACTAGCAGGCCGGGTGAGCCACAACTCGGCGGCAAGCCCTGAACATGCATCAGCAGGTAAGCTCTGTGGGCACTGCCCTGGCTGGCAGGTCCCAGTAACCACTCAGACAGGTGGCTTAAGAGAAGGGATATTGTCCCCGGGCTGGCAGGAAAAGGAAAGACTCCACACACTGTAAGGACAGCAACACAACCATTTACACTTCCCGTAACACAGCAATTCCTATCTTGGATCTGCAGGCAGTCAGTCCTCCAGAGGGTGAGAGCTGCTGCTTAGGACCCTTTTCAGTCCATTGCTTTGTTGGAGGCAAGCAGGGGACATGCAGGTTTCCTGGCAAGGATGAGTCTGTGGAGCTCTGTGTTTGGGGGGGAGGGGGGGAGGGAGACAACTCTCTGCATTGCTCCTGTCCACTGTGACAGTACTTCCCACACAGCTCTGACTAGTGACTGCTACAGCCCTAGGCAACAATTGTGCTTCAAACTCCCCAGTACATAATTCTCCTTTACAAGGACAGCACACCCTGCTCTTCAGAGCCAACACCCAGTCAGAGCACACTGAGCTCCCCCCAGCCTATTCTTGCTGTCTGTTGCTTCTTGGCTGCAACAGCCTCCTTCGGGCTCCTGTCCCTTCCACAGCCCAGGTCTCTGTCCCCAGCCGCTCCCTGGATGAGTTCAGTGCTTATCACTGTGGCTGCAGGGCCTGGCCCAGACTCTGCTGTGTCTCCGTAACTTCTCCACACACCTGGTCTTCACTGCAGTGTCCGCTGAGCCCAGGGTGTTCTGTTCACCAGGCACTATTACAGTCTGCCCCTGCCCAGCACCCCCTGCAGCTCTCTACCAGCCACTACAGCCTGCCCCTGCCCAGCACCCCCTGAAGCTCTCTACCAGCCACTACAGCCTGTGCCTGCCCAATATCCCCCGTGGCTCTCTAGATGTTACTATAGCCTGTCCACCGCCCAGCACCCTGTGAAACTCTCTAGCTGCTACTACAGGCTATTCCCCTGCTTGTCTTCCTGGTCCCCAGGCATCTCTCCAAGTTTTTCTAGTGCTGAATTTCCTAGAGATGCCTTCCTGGCTCAGATCTTTTCAGATAGTTTCCAACTTCTCACTCTGTTGTCCAATAAAGGGTACTGGGTTTCTTCTTCCACCCTGGGCAGGGAGGATGACAAGTCAGTGTAGAAGGTGGGAAAAGAGAACAGACATGAGTTTGCTGCTCCGCAGCTTCATCTCACACAGTTCTGAAGTCGATCACAGTGGCAGTTCTCCCCCTCTAGGTCCCCCTAGCCCTGTGCCAATGCACAGAGATTGAGTCAGTTACAGCCCAAAGCTCCAAACCCTAGAAGCTCATGGTTTAACTCTGTACGTCCCCTGGTCAGTCCCTGCTGCGGCAGTCAAAGGGGTGGTTAACAAACACATAGGGGTATGTATGTGATGCCTCCCATTTCCCCCATAGCTACATCCCTGGCTTCCTCCATAGTCCAGCTGCACACCAGAAAACAAGATCTTGCTGCTTCTGCTGCCCAGGCAGGCTGTGGCCTATGCAGGACCCTGTGGCTGTTACTGAGCCACGGTCCAGAGCTAGATAACCAAACTTCATGTAAAGCAGATGATGAGTTGCTTTCTTTCTTTGTTTTCCTTGTTATTGTCTTGTCCATATAAGGAGGGGTGGGAGCTGAGAAAAGAGGTACACACCATGGAGAGGGGTCTGGCAAAAGGGACGGACCAGTAGAAGGTTGGGACTGAAGTGAGTGAGGGTGCGTAACGTGGTGCAACTATTGGGAACAGGAGATACTTTTCCTTTGAAGTCCCCTCTCTCCTGCTCTTTCTATTGGGACTCAGTTTTCATATTGTCAGGGTTCAGACACCTCTTAAGATCTGATACCAGGGCCACTCTCCCCCCCCAGTTACTTAGGGGTGAGAATGTGTCCACACATCTCCATGTGGGTGGGAAGAATATTAAATGACTGATCATCCTTCTATTATATACATTCATATAAATTTATAGATGGAGGACAGGTCCATCAATGGCTACTAGCCCTGATGGGAAGGGACGGTGTCCCTAGCCTCTGTTTGCCGGAAGCTGAGAATGGGCAACGGGATGGATCACTTGATTCCCTGTTCTGTTCATTCCCTCTGGGGCACCTGGCATTGGCCACTGTCAGAAGACAGGATACTGGGCTAGATTGACCATTGGTCTGACTCAGCATGGCCATTCTTATATCAGTCATTTATCTCCAGAGAGCTAAAGGGGTGGGGGAGAGAGACTTTCAGGGAAAGCAGAGGGCAGGTGTTGGCATTGGAGGGAAGCCCAGACATTCCCTTTTATTTGGGAATGACTCTGGGTTATGCATAGCACCCTGGAAACCCACCCCATCTTCTCCCCAGCAGGCCCTGCAAACCTGGAGGCAGGTCCCAGCCCTTCCTTGGCAGCTGCAGACTCCAACTCCCCAGGGCAGCCCCTGCTGGAAGGATACTGCAGCTTATTCATGCAGTCCTGGTCAATGGTGCCTTTGCTGTTGTACACCAGGGTGCTGCTCAGCAGGACGGCCAGTGTGAAGATCCAGGGGTCACGCTTCGGGTCACCCTAGGTTCACAGGCACAGGGAAAGAGAAGGGGAATGGGGTTGGTTAAGAGCATCTCATTGTATGGAGTTCTGTCAGTGTAACACAGGTTCTGCTGGCCAGCAGCACTGCATGAAGGGATGGAGGGATCCTATGCAACATGCATGACAGCAGTTTCCCATGGGGAGCAGACTGGCACCCCTTCAGCTATCCACCTTTCATCTGTAACTCCACTTCAGTGGTGCTAATTATAAAATCAGCCTCACACTCCAGCTTTGTACAGAGCACTGCTCTGTAATGAAACGTGGTGCAATTCACTGGTATTTTTTTAAGCTCATTCATAGAATCAGCAGGTACCAGTGACAGGGTGAACTTTTACAGGAAGGGGAAACTTAGATACTATCATCCAGCTATAACCATTGTTCTCCCTTTGCTGAGCAGTAGCAAATCTGGAGCCATTTTCAACATTTTCCCACAGGAGGTGAAATTGGTGACACAAAGTCAAGGTATTTCTCAGAGTAATTTGTTTACTTACTGTGAGGGAAAATTTAGCAGGCCTTAAACTTTAGTCAAGGCCCTGAGTTTGGTCAAGCTTGCTTACAGGCCTTGAACTAAGATCCTGCTTGTTTCTGTGTACAAGGGTCAGAAGGAGTCAAAGTGGAAAGTCCCTAAATAGAACAGTTTGTCATAGCTAATCTTGTGAAATGTGACTGCAAACAGCTAGTGTTAGAAAAGTCAAGCTGCAAAAGAACAGACAAGGGAATAAGAACAGGAAAAGCCAAATAAGGGAGAGATGATCATTTTTGCTTTTGACCAGTATTAGTTTTGAAATATATTCCAAATAAGGTAATTGATACAGAAGTATGTGTAATTGGTTTGTGGTTTTAAGCTTTAAAATGCTGTGCATTCCTTGATTCAGGGGGGCAGCTCTGCTAGCTGTTACTTCCTGCATGCCGGTAATCAATCAGGCTTGTTCTGATCCAAACAATGCGTGGATCGATTTTTCCACATCATTACAGAACATACCCAAAGCCGGTTTGATTGAATGGAGGTGCCAACCACCCCCCCCCTCCCCTCTCACACACACTCTTTCTGGAACCTCAGCCAAGGCACAAGTGCCCTGTCACCTAGACTCAGCTCTCTGAGGCCCCTCCCTCTCAGATTCTCCTCCTAACACATATTCCCTCTCACTGCCTCAGGCCCTGAGCTTTCCACCTGGAAAACCTGCAAGTCTGAACCTGCTCACTCCACAGAGTTGTAAGACAGCCTGGGAATTAACTCCTTTTATAAGTCTGTTCTGCTGTACAAAGGTACCAGTGAAAGGTTTCACTACCCACCCAGCCCACAGAGCGCTTTAACTCACACATACCCCTCAATGATTGGATTTAGGATTGCAGGGGTCTCTTAGGATATGTCAAGACTGAAGCTGGGAGCAAACCTTACAGCCTGCGTAGACAAACTCACACTAGCTTAACTCCAGCTAGTGCACTAAAAATAGCTCTGTGGATGTTGCAGCTG